AAAACACCCACCAATGCCTAAGTGGGCTCCACATTTTTGCTGTGCACTCTTATAGATTTCCGATAATATCAGCGTTGTTGAGATGAGCAATTACTTTGGCCTCACACTCACTATGGGGCTTAAGGAGGGGAAGAGTAGGCGTCCATATCTTACATTATTTTGCCTATCATGGTGGTGAGAAACGGGTGCCTTTTGTGCACGTTGACTACTTGAAAATGCTCACAGAGGCGAAAATTAAATTGGCTATGGATTTTGAGGCATTAAAAATGGTTGACTACTTTTCTGTGAATAATAATGGTGGATTGGGATGCTGGTTTTCGATTTGTTGAGACTGTTGAGGTGTACTTCTTTTGCTTTGGTTATTGAGTGTTAGTTTGTGGACATATGCTGCTGTACTTGTGGAAATGTACTTTTGGCAGTAAGTGAAAAAGGAATTTAACAACAATTTGGTTTGACGGAGGCTGGATCAAGGACTTTATGCTCGTATTATTGCGTTGTTATTGGCATAACGCATGCAAATGTCAATAAAGGTCATGAGTTCGGGTCAGGATACATTGATATTGGTAGCGTGCAATGGTAGGCATCATGTGCACATTTTTGGTCGATTCATGGTGTGGATTGAAATGTCTCTTTTAAAGAGGTGTGAGATGCGAATTTAGCTCACAATGATGTTATAGGAAATGCCTTACGAACTATAAATATGGGTAATGAGGACAACACCATGCTCCTTCGATGGCGACTGGAGTGAGCAAGATCGCATAACTTGCATTGGTGAATGGACCTTAGAAAAACAAATGTTGTTCTCCGACAAACACGTGATCTAAAGGCAACCACTTCTGTGAGAGATGGCAGTTCCTTGCTAGTTCTTTCTCCCATACGTCCTATTTCCTTACACATATGAACCTTGGAGCCAAAACTCACCCCACATCCACATTTTTATGGAGATGTTTTGATGACCCCCTGTTGAGTGGGTACAAAATGCCGTAAAGTTAATTTAAAAGCAATTATTGATTTTCCTTCAGTCTTGGACAGATGACATGCCTGTTACTTACGTCACCTACCTCTCGCTTTTTGTTCAATGCAGCATTATTGTTGCCTGGAGTCCACACGCCCTTTTCAACCAGTCGTTCAGTGGCCCCAACTATACCGCCTACACACATCGATTGCTTGTAAACCGTCCTGCCGAGATTCCCTGTTTTAGGCCCATCGACTGTCCTATAACCGGTCCCACCCAAACTTATACTGCCTATTGGAGCCATCGTGGGTTTAATCTTACCACAACTGGGAGCCCCTTCATTTCCGCCTACTGGGATATCGGAGGCACTCTTGTCATTAACACCATTCTTCCTCACCAAATAAATCTTTGGTGTCACCTTAAAACAGATAACACCTCTCGCCTCTTTGTTCACCGGCTGGACTTCATTGAGTTTCCCTACATTCAAACCGTTTTCGCTGTCGACATGAACGCCACTCTGACCACGAATGCGACAAAGGCCTTTCAGGAATTTATCCTTGGCCAAAAGACCAATTGCATTGTCCTGCTTGAGGGTGGTGGAATGTCTGCGCTAAAGGAAGTTGCTGGCATTGATTTGAGGAAAGCGGTCTTCCAGAAAACGGCTATTCTAGAAGCAGCACAAGAGATCTGTCAAACTGAATTTGACTGTATCGGAGTCAGTTTAGACTTCTTTCAGTGCTACCTTCACATGGGCCAGAAAGCAGCTCTCTACTCAATTGATTTCAGTATAATGCATAGCATTGATATTGGGGTTTTTGTGAACAGAGATGACTTTCAAATAGACAGTAAGATAAAACAGGTTTGTCACTCCAAACGAACTAATTTGCCTTATTAAAGCAAGTTATGGGACTGAGGCGACCTGCTGTGGATATTTCAGACTGTCTTGCGGTTAATCGACTCAATAAAACGCACTAAGGGGAAAATAATGTCCACAGGGTTTGGAAAAGTGCCAAGAACTGATGTGAGTCTTTATATAAATGTGCAACATCGGACGGTTAAGATATGCCTCGGTGAGGCTGGAGTGCTGAATAGAAGGGGAAGGGCAGAATGCGGTGAGTTGTAAGCCATACCTTTGAAAAACATCTGCTAGACTTTTACTTTGCTTATCAGTTAAGTCTCATGCGTGACCAAACCTTCAGCCTTTTACCAAAACAACACGAGCTTCATTTCTTGGCCCCGAATTTCCTTTATCCCATGTCAGTCAGAATCAGCGAAACGGACCATTGCAATCGGCCTCCAAAGGTGCCCTTTAAGACTTTTCATACCTTTGCACATTGGTAGCGGACATGCGGTATTTTGTCACAAAGGACTCAAGGCTAAAACTAATAATGTTAAAGGCTGTAAGCTTGTGGATGAGGTGAACGAGCAAAGTATCTCCATTTTGCTGATTGGCTCGGAGGTGGGACTCTGATGGCGCATATTTCCACGCTCACATTCTTCCTTTGCACGTAGTTTGCAAGACTTGAGTAACTCATGCTGCCTCAGACAAACAAAAGTGTTGCCAAAGGACTGACAGATAACTTCAGCCAGAGTGTGGTGGTTTTAGCAATTACTTGTGTTGCATTTCTGCTGAAATAACAGTCAGTAGAATGGAACGTCTTCTTTGTTGAAATAGTCAAGCAACAATATGATTCATATTTTGTACCAACCAAACAATTCAACCGACTAGAAAAAACTGCCTGCAAAATTACATTTTGGCGCGCATTGTTTTGGTCGCTGGAATTCACCTTGAGCGAAGGCGGCCACCACCGTCCCTAAAAAGTTTTCTGCTTTCATTTACGGCGTGTTGAGCTGATAGTCTGCCTTAAGGCCAAAAGAAGTAAAGCGGTTTGATAGGGAATGTACTGTAAACGTGCACAAGGTCGAAGAGGCCATCGGCACTACCCGAGGATCAGACCACGGAGTGAATGACCTGGCAACGGAGACTTGAGGCCTCAGTCAATCCGAGCCTGTCTTAGGCAAGGTATTAAAGGCGTATTGGCTATATTGTCGGTTTAGCTGTACCAGTCCATGTGAAGGCCCACTTTGTCCCAAAACACCTCCTAGCTTAAAACTTTTAATCAACGCTACAACTTCATGTGCCACTTTGCCACAAAACCTTCCAAACAAAGCATTCTATTATTAGGTCATTTTTTATGAACCTGCCAACATTCCTATGGGATTACTACGAGGTGACCAAGAGCCCATGGCACTGCATTCCCTCTTGCAACAGCCCAGTTGACTAAAGCCTTCTTCAATTGTTTACAGAAGGCATTATCTCCGATCAGTTTGTAGAGCCTTAGTACTTCAGTGATATGTTACCTAAGCTGAAATTGTGACTTGTGAATACTTCACTCACGAAACAGGGGATAAAGTTAAAGCTTTCAAAACGGCAAAATATGTAATCAGCGTTTTCAATGTGTCAAGATGGCTGGGAAATTTAAAGGAAGCAATCCCTTAACCTGTACCTGTCATCTTTCTACCACCAAGTCAGCTGGGAAGTTGAGCGTGGGAAGCGTTGGTCAGATTTGACGTCTGTGTTTAGTTGGAGTGTTCTTCGATTGTCCGTTGCATGTTTCTATCATGTTTCATGTTCTAGAGCTTTGTCCTGCCGGATCCCTCGCAGAACTTCAAATCACCCTGCCTCCACCTCCTGATCAGGCAGTCAACATGCAGGCGGGTGATGAGGAAGCAAATCAGGAATCCCTTCACAATATGCTGTGGCCCCATACGGGTGCGGTCACTTCATGTCGGCCCTGCCCCGCGTGTTCGTACACGGAGACTCTTGGTCGCTCCTCTTGTCTACCATGTCCGAGCTGGCATAGCATCCCCATCTTTGGTACCATTCCTGGAGAGGGCGGTGAGTGGATTGATCTCGTCTGTCCGCGCCAGGGACGTTGGCAGCTGTTACTGAATGACTACGTGACTGAGGCTTACGGCTACTGGCCAGTTGGCAAATGGTTTGAAGACCTGTCGGAGCTCGCTAGAGTGTGGATATACGTAGTTGTGGCACTGGGCTCCGTCTTTTTCGTCCTAGCTGTTGTCTTGATTGCATATTGTTGCGTGGATGTCGCGGGGATGCTCTCCAAGTCGGCACATGAACTGCGACCACTCTACACTGAGGCGGCACTAGTGGTGAAGAATACGAAACGAGTGGAGCGGGAAAGAACCACTAAAGCAGCGGAAAGATTACGTCAATTGATGAAGGAGGATCAAAGCCATCAAGCTAATTACTAACTATGGAAGCCTTATTTTTCCTTCCACGCCCCTTGGCTTGAAACGGTTGCTAAATAAGCAGTGGAAGAACGGTCTAACGCTCTCAGTTCTCTTTAATGGCAATATGGACAATTGGACTCACGCAGCAATGCAATAAAGTGTTACTCTAATGTTACTGACCTCTATGGAGGAGCCTTTGGGTGCTTCCCGCTGACCGGGGAAGCCAACATCCACACGATATCAATGCGGTTAGGTTAGGTTATGCCAGACTAGGTGACGCAGTCATTTCTGTGGGTTTGAGGCAAATTTTCTTGATAGGGTATGAGGCCACAAGCACTGACAATGCCCTTCAATCCAGGCTCAACCGGTGCAGAGAGCGTAATTTACCTGATTGTGGGCTTGCATCTTAGTTCGCGCCACCAAAATTCCTCAAGCGCTAGGGTTGACGGTCCACAACCCCTCTCTAACTATTCATTTGATGGTGCATATTCTTGACATCCACCTCTTCACGGACCAGTTCCTCCAAATTGTTGAAAATGTGGACTATTTGAAGTCATTGTGACCAGGACACTCGTAAACAGTGGGAACGCTGCCCACGGAAGGAAGTTTTAGGTGCATTGAATTTGTTTGGCACGAGCACGCTCTCCAAAAATAACTCTGTTAAGGAGAGGCACTCGCCATTCGTTGTGGGATTGTTATGCTTTACAATCTAACCTGCAGTAGCAATTGATGGGGCTTTGCATCGACCGCAAGCAGATTTTCAAAGCCTCAATTTGTTACCAAAACTTTTGAGGTTGCGATGCCAACTACGCTCCTGACATGAGTATGCAATGGGATTTATCAATAAGGTCATTGTGATGTCAGACATCAAAAGGTTGATGTGCAAATTTGGTTGAGAGCACAAAAAGCCTGCTCAATGTCGCCTTTCTAGCAGCCCGCATGATGCGAAAAGTGCTTAGGAGGGAAAGCCGCCGATGGGAATTTGGTCCCCCAAGTTTTGAGAACAGGGCGGTGATAGCCGGTGTGCCAGCAAATTAGGCTTAAAAGTGGTGTTCCGAACTGCGGATCATGCCCGATCAACCGAATACAGCTAAAAGGCGAAATGAAAGTGTACATGATTTACCGAGTAGGAGTAATTTTTCGTCACATCTCAACTGGTGTTTGTGTGCTGATGACTTAGCCAGTCTAAGAATGAGGGACTAAGAATCGAGGTCTGTCAGATCTCCGCCGTTGTTTGAGGCCACACCTATAGGACTAATGGCCGTTCGTTGTGGCTTTTTTTACGCATAAAATGCATTGCAATGCACTAATTTGGCTGACGCATTTGAAATTTGACCGATCTCTGACAGGACTGCATTACAAAGGAGTAAACGTTAGCCCTACAATGCGACCTACATAGAACAAAAGTAGAATTAAAAGTCAAGTCACGTGTTTAGATTTGTCGCTTCTCTTGAAGGAGGCTTTTGAAAATCTGGTGAAATGGGTGTTTCGTGTGGTCTGAGAGCCACTAATCGACCAACGTTGGCCCTCTATTCTACAGCAAGACCGAAAATGAGAAGGCAGAATGAAATAGCAGCATTTGACTCACGCATCTGCGGGTACCTTTGGAGAAGGCTGCATGATTATACAGACTCCGATTTTGTAGCGTAACCGACCCTCGGAACTGATTCATGCACCACACAAGACCTTACTGAATCGTTACGAACGCATAGGTTGTAATACAGCCCCAACTTACGAATTCCACCATCCTTTGTGAGTACAATGCGTGTTTGAGTGTTTCAGCTGATCAAGTCCCAAAAGCACCAACACGACTGTGATTTAGTCTTTGTCTTTGTGGTAGATGTTGGCATGAATGCACCGTAGTCAGTGAGAGAGGATCAACTGGCATCAAACTCGTGAAGAAGAAGGAAGCGTGCCTTCGAAACACTCGAGAGATAATATTCATGTTATCTTGTTTCGTGCCCCCTTTCTCTAAAGTGTGTTCCCGTTTAACTTCTGGAGGCACCCTTTTGCACTGCCATCGATACAGCGAATAGTAGAGCGGATTAATGAGCACACTCTTCTTTGACTTCGGTTTTAGTGAACACGCATACGGTGAGAAGGCTCCATCAAAGTCAACCTCATGAGCGTTCCCAGACGCAGACTCTGGATAGGATTCAAACCCCAAAGTAAAGAATTGAAGCTTTACAACAAAGTTTTTATCTTGCAGTTTTTTACAACATGTGACTATTTTGGGGCACTTCAACTTGCAGACTTTACGCTTGGGTTTTGAATTGCAACCACTCCACATTTTGTGATTCGAGTATCTGTCGAGTATGCGCTTCTGAGAGAAGTACGGACTCTCTTTTAACACAATAAATCGTCTTTCTAGAATGGTGGTAGAAGGTTACCTATTTTTCGGGCTTACTAGCTTGACTTTTTAAAATATAAAAAAACTGGATAAGTTCTCCTTACTACAAATACGAGCAAGGCATCATAAGCAACTTGAATTTGGGATTGTATAATTTCCTGAAAATGAAGCAGGCGAATGGCAATCCCTGCGGCTACTAGCCGTTCATTTAAATGCGTGCTAAATTATGTGGACATTAGGATTCTCGGGTTGAAATAAGACTCCTCAGCACACCGTAGCACATCTTGTTACGCCTTAGGACTATTCTCTAATGTTTCAGCGTCGGGTCACCGCAGCGACTGGATACGGAGCGCATCCTTACAGCAT